TGTCCTGTGACCCCACCCAGCCGACTGGCAGAGCTGTCAAATACACACACTTGTATTTTTTCAAGTCAAACTACTGCCTGTCCACCAGGAAGTCTAGGGGAGCTGGGAGGCCAGCGAGGCCGGCCTTGGCAGTGGCTCCCACCACCTGGCCCTGGGTCCTTGGGCAGGTCCCTCCTCCAGGTCTCATCCCTGTGAGAAGCACAGACGTCACAGGGTGAGGGGCGCGTTGGACCTGAGTTTCAAAAGCCGAGTAAATGTCGGACTCTGTTTTAATGACTCGTTTACGTCAATCAAATAAGGGAAGCAGATCAAGAGGAGGGCCGGGCTGAGTTTGACGAGGGGGTGGAAGCCCACCCCCTCCCCTCCTGTCTCCACCATACTGTGAGCACCCTGATCCTGGAAGCCCACCATCGACTCCCACAGCTCGAGGAACACAGTTCAAACATCTCTACCAGATTATTCCTCCTAAGAATGACCTGGATAGTGAATCCCCACTCTCCAGCTTCCAGCTGTGTGGCCTTGGGCCAGTAACTCACCCTCTCTGTGCTCCAGTTTACTTCTCCGTACAGTGAGGATCAGAAGTCCCACTCCTTAGGGTGTATTTAGTGACTGGTTACCAAGGTCTTCTTTGCATGGTATCAAGATTCTACATGTATCAAATGTCAATCTTTTTTTTTAATTGAGAAGATGCTCCGAGCTCAGGGGGAACAAGCCTGTTGGAGACCCAGGTGTCCCTCTGGCTCCCTGGGCTGCCTTCTGTTGTGTCCCCACAGCCCTGAGACTGAGGGCCTGGAACTGGGCGTGCTTCTTACCTACGGTGCCTGAGAGGTTGGGTGTCAGGTGGACCCTTGTGAACCTTCTGAGTGGTGGCCAGGCTCCTGGCCTACCTGGAATAGCAGGTGAGCCTCTGGGGCAGTGCTGGGCAGGTCCACCGCACCGGAAACCGACCAGACTCCTTCCCAGGTCAGAGCCCAGGTTCTTCCAAAGGGGAGCACGCCTGCCCCACCTCCGGGCCTGCACCTACTGAGCCCCTCAGCTGGGCCCACAAAGCCCCACCCCAGGGCCCAGAGGGGCCAGCAGAACTGCAGAGGCTCTGGGCGTGGAGAAGCTTGTCAGGAACACACAAGAAACACCCAGAACCCTGGAATACCAAGGGCGTGTCAAAGAGCACGGGGGTCCTGTGGGTCACGAAGGTTCAGTCAACACCGTCCACCTCCCTGCAGCGAACCACCAACCCAGAAGTGACAAGGGTCGTGGGGTTGGAGGAGTTGGAAGCCGTGGGCACCGTCGGCGGGAACGCAGAAGGGCACGCGTGGAAATCCACACAGAACCGCCATTGGGTCCAGCAGCAGGTGGACAGCAGACGGGGAGAAGCCAGGGTGGCCCACCCCTCAGCCCCACAAAGGAATGGGACCTGACCATGTCACCCGTGGAAGAGCCCAGGACACCTGCCAGTCACGGCAAGACCCGAGCTGCACAATGCCACCACAGGGGTCAGGAACACTGAGACTCTCGGCCACCAAATAGAACGGGGGCTCCAGGGGGGGTCGGGGGGAGGCGCAGGGGCTGGTGTCTCCCGGGCTGTGGAGACAGACGTGGTCATGGCCACGCTGCAGAGAAGATGAGCTCACTCCAGAGCAGAGCACTTAATACGCCCCAGATGGTCAGTTTTACGTTATGTGTATTTTTCTGCATTAAAACAAAGCCCAGAAGATGCCACAAGGCTGGGAAAAGTTGACTCTGGCTTTTAGAATCTAATGGAATAGGTGGTGGAAACGTTCGTAGCACATATTGCAAAAGGCAGTTTTGAATCTGGGTTTTCAGGTGGGGGTCTGCTCGCGGCTGGTCCACGGGTCTCAGGAGCGGCTTTTCCCCTGTATGTAGACGGAGGTTTACTCACACCGAATCTTCTGGTTTCTGACTTTAGTGGATTGGCCACAAGAGACACAATAGCAGGCTATGAAGGCAGAAGGTTCCTGTTTGTTAAGGCCTGAGGTGTGTCCCCAACAGCTCATATGTGGACCTCAGCCTGTGGCTGCACTTTACGGAGGTGTAACGTAGAATGAGGTCATATGGGTGTCCCTCATCCAATGTGACAGGTGTTCTTAAAAAAGAGATTGGCTTTGGGGGTAGGAAGGACAGTAGAATGAGTGGGACATCATTACCCATGTGCATATATGATTACACGACTTGTGTACCTCACATCATGTGCAACCAGAAAAATGAGAAGTCTTACTCCATTTATATATGATGTGTCAAAATGCAGGCCACTGTCACGTGTAGCTAATTAGAGCAAGACATTGGGACATAGACATGCACAGAGGACCGTGTGAGGACACGGTGAGAAGATGCATCCACAGGCCCAGGAGAGAGGCTCAAGAGGAACCAGCCCTGCCCACCTTGACCTTGGACTTCCAGCCCCAGGACTCTGCACAATCCAACGCTGGGTAGAAGCCACCTGCCGGTAATATTTGTTGCATCCACCCGAGCAAATTAATGCTCTACTCCACTTTCAAAGTACTCCTCAGGCCCCAGAATAGCACCAAGGGCTATTCTGTGTGCAGACGAGCAAGGCTTGGAGGAACCAAGGTCACACTGCTCACACTGCTGGCCAGTGCTGGGCCAAGCCAGGTTCTCTACTGGAACCCGCATGCCCTCTTCAAAGTCCTGCCTGAGGATGGGGAGGGTGTGAAAGCGCCTCACAGAGGATGAAGTCCTGAGAGGTTTTCAGAGTGTCAGAGCGGACCTGGCACAGAGGAGGGGCAAAGCCTCACATGTACTGTTGCCGCCAAACCTCCTGATGCGCCCACCCTATGTGCCTAGTCCTGGGTGTTGGTATTGTGCCCATTTCACAGACGAGGGAACTGAGACTCAGAGAGTCAAGTTGGGTTGGAGCCCAGGCATCTGACCCAGGACCTTGCTGATTCTCAGCTAACCAGGTCTGAATGGCCCGCGCATCCTTTTCTGATGGAGTCTGTCTTTCTTGGGGAGGGGAGGTGGCTTGTGGCTGTAGGGCGCTTTCTCCCAACCATAAATCTGCAGCAGGGAGAATGCTAATGCTTTGCCCATTCATACCCTCTTGGCCTCTGCCTCCTGGCCACATCCCCACTCTCTCCCACCCCTCTTTCCCTTCCTCCCCTCCCTTCCATGAGTTTCATCTCCTGGCTGGGAGCTGGAGGGCTCTTTGTCCTGTCTGGACTTATTTATGTGGAACAAAAGCTACCAGGAAACCTTGTCCCAGGCCCGGCCGCTGGAGCAGTGCGCCCCCTGGTGGAGAGAACTCTGCCTGGTCCTGCAGGCCGGGCTCCAGCCTCCCCTTCCCAGGGGTTCCCAGGCATCGGAGTAGAGGAGGGCCCCTGCCTTCCTAGCCCTACTGCTGATCTCCTGGGCTTCTCAAGCCCCTGCAGATGTCACTGCACACTAGCGCTGGGGAAAGCACAGCATCAGCTGGGCCTGTGATTCTAGGACCCCAAGTGACACCCTGAGAAGGGGCACTTCCAGACCTCACACAGCCTGGCCCAGCAGTTCTCAGTCCTGGGTGGACCTTACTACCAGCTGGGAATATTTAAAAATGCTGATGCCCAAGCCCACCTGGAACCTGGCGCTGGGACTTGTTAATGTGACCCCTGCCACCCTCCCCCCACCTGGACTCCTACATGATTCTCACGTGCAGCAGGGCTGAGAGCCCTGGTCCTCAGGTACTTATGAAGGTGCACTGCTGACGTCCTCCTCCTGTAAGCACCGTGCTCCCTGCACAGCACCTACCCATTGCAAGCGGCCGTGACAGCCAAGGTCAGGTTCAAATCCCAGGTCCAGCCTGACCAGCTAAGAGAGGAGGCTGGTGGGGAGGGCTCTCTTTCAGTTTCTTCATCTGTGGAAACAGGTGGTCATGGGAACAAGAGCCACGATGCCCTGACCTCTCTCCCACCCTCAGACTGTGGTGGAAACAAACAGCAAGTTGTATGCAAACCCCAGGACATTGCAGGGGACACTCGAGGCAGGGCTCAACCATGAGGGCCCCGCCACGCGGCCACAGTCCTGTAGCCAGAGCCTCCGTACCTCCTCTGTTCCTGGGGTGCTAAATTCCTAGCTCAGGGGTCCTCTCGGGGTCAGATGTAGAGAAACCCAGCGAGCTGGCTGCCAGGCTGGGAGGGGGGGATGGGCAGGGGAGCTGGGGGATTTTGAGGGAAGTGGAGCTGTCCTGTGAGCCCTGTGCATATGTCACTGAACTTACGTCAAAACCCACAGAATGTTCCACACAGAGCGAACCCCGGTGCAAGCTGTGGTCTTTGGTTAGTAATGTGCTAACACTGACTCTTCAATTGCAGCAAATGGACCCACCATTTCAAGATAATGGTAGAAACTGGAGCAGAGGGAGGAGAGCACACGGGGACTGTACACTTGGGGACTATTATTATTATTATTATAAACCTAAACTGTTAAAAAAAGTTAAGCCTATTATAAACAGAACAAAAGCAGGACAAGTGGGGAGGTTTCGTGACCAGCAGGACCACCCACGGGCTTTGGTGTACCACCCATTGCCCCTTGTGCCTGGGGTTGGAGCCCCAGGAGCGGGTCTCTCACAGTCCCCCAAAACCCTGGTTCCCAGGACTCCAGGACTCAGGCCAAGGATTTGTGGGGTGAGGGCGCCCCCTTCCGGCCTTGAGGGGCAGGGACAGCTGGGTCCCTGGTCGCCCTGGGGCTGGGGACTGGATTTCACCAGGAATGGGGGCTCCCTCAACGTGCACACTGGTGCCACCTCCCGATCTGTTAATGCCAGCAACGATACGGAAAACGTCAGACTCTCGTGGCTTTGTGACGGAAGAGTCCCATAGTGCCAGTGCACAGCCAAGGCAGGACTAATGGCTCCCCCTCAGGCATCTGGGAGGAGAGGGCAGGGGGGAGGCCTCACAGTCAGAGCAGGGGTGGCTTGCTGCTGGCCGACCTTGGGTTATGGCTGGTAGCACTGAGCCTTAGGCGATGACAATCACCTAACAGTGTGTCAGGCACTCTGAACCCTTTACTGGACTTGACCACAAACAAAAATGGTCTACCCCCATTTTACAAACAAGGAATGGAATACACAGAGAGGCTAGGTAACTTGTCCAAGGGCACACAGCTAGTGAAAAGTGGCTTCTATTTGGCTCCAGCTCCAGAGCCCCGCCACTAGCCACCTGCCAAGCCACCTCACCTCCTGGTTTCCCCATCTGAGAAATGGAATGCCATCCCCCCCTCCCGCCCCCCTGCTTTAGCGGCTTGTCTGGGTTGGATGGAGTGCTGAGAGTAAATGTCAAGGTCAACCTCAGTCCCTAGGCTTGGCGCAGGGAGTCCCTTGAGTCAGCAGTCGCCTAGGGCTGCAGCTCATACTGGCCCTCGGTGGCCGTGTAGAAGTCCTCAAGCACCGACTGCAGGAACTCAAAGGTGGGCCGCTCCTCGGGCCGACTTCGCCAGCACTCAGCAATGACCTGGCGGTACAGCTCCGGTGGGCACGTGTCCGGCCTTGGCATGCGGTAGCCTCGATCCAGACTGCGGATGACCTCGGGATTGCTCATGCCTGCAGGCAGAGGGACAGAGCATGTCGGCGAAGGTGGTTTCCAGAGGGGGTGGTGTCATCCAAGTGGCCCTGGGGGACACTGGGCCTGGAAGGGGAGAGCAGCCCCCACAGGCTCATCAGATCAGTCTCCTCCCTGGTTGGTCACCTGGCCACCCAGCTGGTGACCCTTTAAACAGAACTTGGTTTACTTTTTATTATCTGGAGAGCTGGAAACGAGGCTGTCGATTCTCTCCTGAACTAGACAATCCGTCTCAGGATGGGACCCTGTCTAGGTCACCTGTCCAGGAAAACTGAACCTCTGCTACTGGTGGGGCTGCTCCCTGCAGCCTGCAGAGCTGCTTAGGCCCTTGTGACATGAGCCTGGGGCTCAGGTTCTGCCCAGGGACAGGCTTCAGAGGATGCCCCCAGGCTAAGGCCAAAGAGGGACCACTGTCCTCAATGGCCGACAAGCTCCCTGGATGAACTCTGTCTAGACCTGACTGCCTCGGCTGCTGTTTTTAGGGGGCTCGTTTGACCTTCCCTGGGCACAGCCCTGAGGCCTAGGGTGCTACTGATAGAGGGGACTAATCCCACAACCAGAGGGAGGCCTGGATCCCAGTCCAGCTGACGGGCGGCCCTCTGACCAGTGGGTGGTGGCCACAGTGCCTGAGGATGGGATGGCTGCCATGGGCCGTAACAGCAGAGCAGAGCACTGTGAGAGCTGCAAGAGGCAGCACCTACCTGGGTATGGCACTCGCCCATAGGTGACGATCTCCATCAGGAGGACCCCGAATGACCACACGTCTGCTTTGATGGTGAACACCCCAAAGTGGATGGCTTCCGGGGCGGTCCACTTGATGGGGAACTTGGCTCCTGGGGGAGAAGCCCAGCAGCTCTGTGAGGCCAGCCTGGCTGCCCTGCCCACAGCCTCCCCGCCTGTCCCCACAGCTGGGCCTCGCGGGGCTTGGCCACCAGACAGTGCAGAGGTGCACCCAGGGAGTCAGGAGGACACTGGAGGGTGTGTGCCTGAGAACGCACAGGCCCAAAAGGGTCCTCGCAAGAGGAACTGTTGGTGCTCCGCAGGCTGAAGGGACTCCAGCAGAGGAGACCTTTGTCACCTGGTGGGGCACAGTGGCTGATGTTCTTTACCATCCAGAGACCCGGGAGTCTCTACCAGTCACACGTCTGTCCCCACTGTCCTTAGGGTCTTTAAAAAGAGAGCAGGTGGGCCGGGCATGGTGGCACACACCTGTAATCCCAGTGGCTTGGGAGGCTGAGACAGGAGAATGGAGAGTTCAAAGCCAGCCTCAGCAAGTTAGCGAGGCACTAAGCAACTCAGTGAGACCGGTCTCTAAAGTAAAATACAAAATAGGGCTGGGGACGTGGCTCAGAGGTCAAGTGCTCCCCCACCCCCCACCCCCCCAAAAAAGAAAGTAGGTGGGCTTCACTGGGCAGCACGCATGAATTTCCATCTGGGATAGAAGAGTCCTTTTCTATGTCACATGGCCTTGTTATAACATAGGCCCAACATTTTAACTTGTCCCAGTCCCTCAAGTAGTCCTCAAAGTGAAGGCTGCAGTCCTGGGTGGCATTTAGGGCAGACCTCATGGCTCTCCACTGGGTGCCCGTCCTGTGAGCCAGCCTGAAGTCCCCTGAGGACAGACGTGGTCCCCGCACCACATTGCTCCTCCTGTGTCGGCTGATCTTCATACTCAGCTAAAGGTATTCAGATCCCCCCGTGAAGCAGATTTTGAGAGTAAAGCAAGAGTGCTCTGCAGAAACCCAAATGTAGGTCCAAGAATTTGCTGTTCGTGTTTCAGTGTGTTCTGTGAAAGCCCAGCTCCATGGGGTTCACAGGAGCCAAGTGGAAAAAGCATTTGCAACTCAAATTAGTTGGTGAGGCACCAGGTGAACCGCTGACATGTTGTGAATCTCCGGGGCGGCGGGGAGATGGGCTGCCCAGTCCCCTGACCCACCGCATGCCGAGCTCCTCCTCGTGGGAGGTCTGGAGGCACTTCTTTTCTGCCATGTGCATTTAGGGGGGAAGGCCAAGTGGTGGGGGCCACAGAGACCTCCGCAGGTCCCTTTCAGTGAGGCTCTGCAGTGCAGGACCAAGGAGAAGCTCAAGAGGGCTTCGGGGAGCTGGGCAGGTGAGGCCCAGCATCTCCCTGTGGCTGGGGCTCTGCTCACCCTCTTGGACAGTGTATTCACTGTCAATGATCCGGGCCAAGCCGAAGTCCGCGATTTTGCAGCACAAGGTCTCAGACACCAGTATGTTGGCCGCCCTCAGGTCTCGGTGGATGGAATTCATGTGCTCGATGTACGCCATCCCTTCCGCGATCTGAGGAGACAGGTCCCAAGGTGAAGGTCGGCGTGGGGCCTCTCCTCCCAGCATCCCACACAGGCCCTGGGAGAGCAAGGACCTGACCACCACCTGTCTCTGGACCAGCTCATCCTCTGGCAAGGCTGATGGGGCAGAAGGGCATGGTGGGTGCCTTTGATTGCTTTTAAGTGGATGCATGGAGGGCGGCTACCGCTGGGAGGGACATGTGTCCTCCTGGGTGGAGAAGAAAGAGGGCTTCCACTGCTTCCAGATGGGTAAGCCCCGAGGCCCGAGCAGCAGGGGGGCTAGCTGTCTCCTCCTGCCCTCTCCTTCCAAGCAGCTGTCTCCACAGGCCTTCCAGGGAGGACAGGCAGGAGGAGGAGAGGGAGGGGCGGAGGGCACAGTCAGAGGGCACCTCTCCTTGGCAAGCACTCTGCCTGGAGTCGGGAGCCCGTTCAGCAAGTCTCTAAGCCTCCCTGGGGGCTCCGTCCTGACCTGGACCATGGAGGGGGCTCCCGATCCAGGAGTTAAGGCCAGCCTTCAATGAAGTAACTCGTGCCAAGGCTTGAACCTGCATGTAGGGATCTGGGTGAACAGAGGCACCAAAGAGGAGTTGTCTCAGTCCAGATCACAGCACCAGGCCAGGACTACCTGCTGGGCCCCCTCTGTAGCTCTTTTAGCTAAGGCTTATTCACCCCTTGATGGGCGAGGAAATTGAGGCCGAGAACAGAGAGCCAGTGGATCTCCCCCAGCATCCAGGAACCTAAACGACATCGACTCAGGTCTTGAGCTGACCGGGATTTTGTAGGGTGGAGAAGAGACCAAAGCCTTCTGGGCAGCGGAGGCAGGTGTGGCAGGTACTAGGCACCAGGAACCATGCCACGGGGCTGCAGGGCAGGGCACGGGGGTCGTAGCTGGAGGTTGCACCGGGTGGCCAGCGCTGGCCTTGGAGAAAGTGCCCTGTGTGCTTTGCACCCCACCCCAGAGTAGGGGAGGAGAGCCCCGAGGTCCCTGCTTGCGTGTGTGTGCACGCGTTTGTGCATGCGATTGCATGCAGGGCGAGGCGCGGTGTGACCCCAATGTGGTCTAGAAGCTGTCTTCTGGGAGGTCCCGATTTCCTGGTTTCTTAACCCCCAGATATTTGACCACATCTTGGCCCTGAGCTCAGATGGCTTCTCCTGACCTTTCCCCATGTGACCCAAGGTTTCCTGAGGGGTTATGATGGGGATTGGAAAAGACAGGGGGCGGGGGTCGGAGAAGAGAAGGAAGGAAGGGAGAGGATGGGCTTATCCCATAGCCATCTCACCAGTTGCTCAAACTCGTCTCTTGCCTCATGGAAAAAAGGCACAATGACCTCAGTTCCTGCATCGATACTAGTTAAAGATAACGAGGAATGGGGGGGGTGTGAAGTGTGGGTGGGGAGGGCCCCCTCTGTAGCTGTGTGTGTGCGCACGCACACATGTGCACACTCACATTTTAGAGGCTAACCACAGACCACACCTTCTTGTAGAGAGTTCTAGTTCTAACAGACACACACACAGGACCACCAGGTGCGTCTTCCTACTAGATAGAACCCCCAGCTAAAGTCCCCAGGGGAGGAAAGCTCTCTCCTCCTCATTCATTGCCCCCCTACAGAGTCTGGGAAGTTCTTCATGTGAGCCCCAAGGGTATCAAGGACAAGTCCAGGGCAGCTGAAAAGATTCCCTGATGGTGGACGTTCTCTGGGCTTGCTTGCTGCCAGGTGTGGCACTAAGACGCCGTGGGACAAGACGGTAGAGCCATGAGTCACCATCTTGGACAGTAAGATGACAAGCTAAGGTTCCTGATGGGGTGGAGCCTCCAACCTGCCTACGGCTGGACGTTCCACATTCATGTCATCGTTACTTTCTGTCCTTCACAGTCCAGGTGAAGCCTAACCAGTGCAACCTCTCACCAGTGGATTCACTTAAGCCTCAGGGCTCCGAGAAGGACACACTTCCCCCAGGTACCCTCTGCATGGGGTAGTTCACCAACCTGGGCTGACATGTCGATCAGTCGTGGGAGGGACAACCTGCTGCCTTCATCTGACTTTAAGAAGTCCAGTAGGCATCCTGAGAGAGAGAGAGAGAGAGAGACGGGGGCCTCAACTGCACTTGTGCATGGTGACCTGAGCGGGCTGGGGGCAGGAAGCGGGCACTGTCCTCAGATCTCTGGATGCACCAGGAGCTCTGCCTGCAGCTGTTGCTGCCTTAGGCTCACATAGACCCAGGCCTCACCACCCTGGGGTAGTGCCCAACCACCCAGAGTGAACGCACAGCAGGTTCAGGGACCTGCCTGAGGTCTCAGGGCCAGAGGAGTGGGAACTGGAACCTGAGCTCTGGCTCTGGGATTAGTGGTCTTTCCTGACATGACAGGACATTCCTGCCCACCTGCCTTGCCCCCATCATCCTCAGTGGCAAGGAAACTGTCCCTGAGCTCCAAGCATCAGCAAGAAGACACTGGCTTGGAGAGAGCTGTTCCCAGACTGTTGTCCCATGAGACACCCTGTGGACCTCAGAGGCTGCCCAGCCTCACCCCTCTGGTCACCATGCTATGAAATGTTCATATACTTGGAAAAGGTCCCATGATAAGAAGGGGCAGTAGAACTATCTCTGGATGCCCAGCCAATGGCTCTTTCCCCTTTTCAAGGCTCTGTCCCTCCCAGCGGGTATCAAAGTGCACTGGGTGCAGAAGATGCACTCTGGGAGCACTGGCCGCAGGGCTCCTGAGCCGAGGAGGCGGCTCTGCAGAGACCAACCAGCCCTCCTGCTTCCCGGCCTCCTCCCCTCCTGCCCCCCGCACCAGCGACGTCTGGTGCAGATCCTGTGGCGATCCCCTGGCCTGGCAAACCCACTGCAGCGATCCACCGAGACTTCCCGCCCTCTAAGCCTGGTCCTCTGCGGGGGCTGGGGCACCACCTCTGGCCATGTACTCGGTGACGATGAAGATGGGCTCCTTGGTGACCACGGCATACAGACGGACCAGCCTCTCGTGCTGCAGGGCTTTCATCAGGTTGGCCTCAGCCAGGAAGGCTTCTGGAGACATGGCTCCCTCCTTCAAGGTCTTGATGGCCACCTTCAAGTTGTTTTTGTAATAACCTGACCAGGGAAGAGGGGTGGGGAGTAAAGGGGCCATTCAGAGGCTCAGAGAACATCTGTCACCACTGACACGAGATTCCAGGTGCCAGACCCTTCTATGGGGACCTGAGGCCAGAGATGGAATGTGTGTCCCCCAGGGTGATGGATGGGGTGTTCATACTTGGCGAGGATGTGACCATCTCCCCTGGCCACACGGGAGCCTCAGGCAATGGAGAAATTTAGGGGGGGAGGCATCATACTGAGTAACAGACAATGACAGGCCTGTCCTTCCCAGGGAAGCTGCAGCTCGCGCCAGGCCTGGGCAGAAGGCTCCAGGAGCATCAGGGTCTGAGCCTGACCTGGTGCCTTCTATGTTCCAACAGTGCTGTGGTGAGCAGGAGCCGCCTGCGGCTGGAGGACACTGGGAGCTGGAGTTGAGTGACTTGGCCCAAGTCAACACTGGCAGGTGGTGGCCTTGGTCTGCAACCGGGCTCTGGAGTTCCCAGTTAGTGGCCCACTCTGTCTAGCAGACAGCTTCTGTCTGTGAGCTGAGGCCAGGAGAGTCAGCAAGCCAGCCGAGCGCACAGGGTCTGTGGCAAAGCCAGCCAGGGCTGAGAAGGGCTGAGAGAGTGGGTTCTGTCCTCTCCATCACCACTGGATGCCCCTCAGCATTCCGGGCCTGGCCTCTGCCTCTCCTCACAAGGCCTCCTGGGGCAGGAGCTCTGCGTACACTGGGCCCTTGGCCTTCAGGGGCAACTTGCCCTTTTCAGGATGCAGGGCGGGGAGGGGTGCCACAACTCACCCATCCACACTTCACCAAACTGCCCAGACCCGAGTTTCCGGACCAGCTTGAGGGACTGCCGCGGGATTTCCCATTCGTCCTGGACCCAGGGGTTCTGCGATGCCAAGCTCACACAGGGCAGGGTCAGCCTCTGGCATAAGCCATCCCCTTTCTCTGTATCAGGGAAGAAAGAAAAGTGAGCTGGAGGCCAGACTCCATGTGGACACCCTCCGCTGTGTGCACGAGGCATTGGCTTTGAATTACCCTGTGGAGAGGGGCCAGCTTCTCAGGTCTGGCTTTGGGTCACCCTCCAACTCCCCAAGGCAATTCACACAATTTGGGATCCTGTAATAGACGTCCCAAGAGCTCCTCTGGCACAAGCCCCGCCCCTCCAAGACACCCCCTTACTAGAATAGTGCTGCACCAGGGCCTGGAGGGAGGGGAAGGTGGTCCTGGGGGAGATGTAGTAGCCCCCTTCATCCAGAGAGCGGATCTTATAGTGCTTGACCATCTCCCCCTGGGTGGTGACATCCTTCACAGACAGGGAAAAGGCACCTGGAGGCCAACAGACACAAAGGAGGAATAAGGCACAGAGTCAAAAGGTCGGGACCCAGGTGGGGCTTGGTGTCCGTGTTCTGAAGGACAGGTCCTCAGATTCTGGGCTCCATTTCCACTGGTTTCCTTCATCCCAATTTGCCCCCCTGAGCCTCCCTGTTGGCTCCATCTGATCACCTTGACCTTCCCCAAAGCCTCAAACTCAATCAGAGAATCACGAGCTTGGGGCAGGTAGGACAGTCTCTCAGCAATCATGCAAGTCCCCTACTTGAGCACCTGGTCCCTCAGCTACCCTTTGCCATGGAATGTTGAGACATGTTGGGGTCCTTGGCTATAAAGGCTGACAACTCCCCCAGGAAGAGGTGCATCCACCTTAGGCACCATGCCCATGGGAGGAGCACAGAGCTGTGTCCCACGGACCTGCTCCTTCAGCTTGGCAGACACACACCTGTGGATTTTGTACCTGTAGACGAGTAGTAGCACACGCCAAGGGCTAAGAACAATTGGGGAAGTAAGAACTTTCAGCTGAAAAACTTCTGTCCATGAACTTGGTGTTGCTATAAAATGCCTCTGTCCAGCTCTCTGGGTACCATGGACACTCCCTCCCTCTCCAAATCTTATTTGAGCAAGAGGTCCCTCTCTGGGCAGGCTTCCCTGGCCCCACCTCCCAGGAACAGTACCATCCCTCTCCACCAGGGGTCAGAGGTGTTAAATAATAGTTCCATTGTCCCAGAGAAGAACTGTCTTACACCTCTTTCTCCATGGTCCTGTGTCTTTGGGCCCCTTCTTCTCAGGTCAGAACCACCATCCCGTCCCCCTCCCATCTTCCTTGACGGGTTCGCCTCTCTCACCACCTACTTATGAAAGGACTAGAGAGGCTGTGCACTGTCCAGTGCACCGGGAAGTTGCCACCGCCCCCACACCCACTGCAGCCGCCGGCTGGAAGCTACAAGGTCCTTGCCCACCCGACCCCGGCTTGGTACCCCTGTGTCCCAGTCTGTAAGGACCTTGGCTCTAGCGCGTTCACAGATCCCTGGACCTCGCAGTGAGGACAAGAGCTTTCCTCCCCCTTTCTCCCACAGCGGCCTCTCAGGAAGCAGGGAGCCCTACTCTCCTGCACTGTGGGGGTCTTCTCCAAGTCCTCTCTGTGACGTCTCAGGACAGTGGGTGCTCTTCTTAAAGAGCACTTCCAGCTCCGACCAGCGTCAGGTTTACAGAACTAGGACTCTTGGCTCTGGGCTGTTTGGGCTGCCCTGGGCACAGAGGGCTGGCTCTCACAGATTCAGATTTCTTACCACGGAAAGGTGCCCCTGCCTTTGGACTGGGAAATGAGGCTGTCGTCACAAAGACACCAAGAGCAGAGGCTTGAGAAGCTGAGGGACATCTAGAGGCCACTGGACCCCCCCAAGGCTGCCTCTCTGCTGGCCTTGCCTCCACTGGCCGTGGCCCTGTGATGCAGATTCAGGGCTTCCTTTGGAATGCTGAGGAGCCTGTGTGTGCACGTGTGTCGTTGTGTGTGTGCACGTGTTTTGTTGTGTGTGTGCACGTGTGTCATTGTGTGTGTGCACACATGTGTGTGTGGGGGGGAGTAGAGAAGACACAAGACCTGCTGAGTAGCTAATTGTGGAAGTGGACCCATGGGCCCCATCACACCATTCTGCCTCTGCATTTGCTGGAAATGCTCTACCAGTAACAGCCCCAGAACACACATGCCATCTCCACTGGTTCCCTGCTGGTTCCTTGGACAGGGGTGCTTTGCCCCGAAGATGGGATGGTGGCAAATCCCAATGTCTCTATATAACACCCAGGTGTGTACATGCATGTACTCGTGCACATAAGACCTGAGGCACCCGCTGGTGCATTACAGGAAATTCTGCCCAGAGCACCCTGAGTCCCGATGCCCCCTCTGCCCCCAGTGTGGCCCTGGCCCTGAGGCGCAGAATGGCTGCAGGGTGTCTCACGGTGCCTGGAGCTCTCTTCACCCAGCTTTTGCTGTCAGAAATGCAACTCCTGACTGCTGTTCACTGGCCACTAACAGGAGCCAAATTCACATTGCAGTCACTCTCTGCCCCCATTCCTCCTCCGACTCACCGTCCCCATCTCCTCCCCATAGCACATCGCAGGGCCCTGTGGGCAGCCTTCTGATGAACAGGTTTTCTTCACACCACTTGGAGGGTCCTTGATCCCCCCAGCCTGACACAGTCTGCAGCTTGCACAGATTCAGAGCCTCGTCCATGGTGTCCACTGTCGGCCTCAGACAAGGCCTTCCTCTCCCAGGGCCTCAGCTCCCTCATCAGTCAAATGGGGGACTGGCCTAGAATCTCCGAGGTGGACCACTGCAGCAGGTGTACCAAGGAGTCCACAGAGCATGACCAGAGTGGCACAGGCACCTCAGTCCCACTGGGAAACATCCCAGTGCCACCAGAGTTAGAACCACTGAGCCAGTCGTGGGATACGCACGCAGGACGTTCTGCACCACACGGAACTGAACTACTGCCACTCTCAATGCCCACGTGCCTCTGTCCTTGGTTGAGCTGTGTCCCAACAGCCCCAAATTCGGATGCTGCAGTGCTAATCCCTACCTGCAGGACACAACTGTGTCTGGAGACAGGGTTCTTAAAGGGGGATTAAGGTAAATGAGGTGCTTTGGTTGGGCCCTCACGCAACAGACTGTGTATTTATAAGAAGAGCCTAGGACACTGACACACAGGGAGGCCTGGTCAGGATTAAGGACCTAGGCATTAGACCAGAGACCCAGCACCTACTAGAAGAAAACGTAGGCCCCACTCTCCATCATGTCAGTGCAGGAATTGACTTCCTCAACAAGACTCCTGAAGCACAACTAGTAAAATCAAGAATCAATAAAAGGATGATATCAAACTAAACATCATAGCAAAGGAAACAATCAAGAACGTGAAGAGAGAGCCTACAAAGGGAGAAAATCTTTGCCACCTGCATCTCAGAGTATTAATCTCCAGGATATACAAAGCATTCAATAAACACCACCAAAAAAACTAGTAACCCAATCAATAAATGGGCAAAGGAATTCAACAGGCACTTCACAAAAGAAAAAATATGAATGATCAACAAATACATGAAAAAAATGTTCAACATTTCTAGCAACTAGAGAAATGCAAATTAAAACTACTGTAACATTTTATCTCACTCCAGTCAGAATAGCAATTGTCAAGAATATAAGTAGTGCTAAATGTTGATAAAGATGTTGGGGGAAAGG